GACCAAGGGGTTGTGCGCCGGGCCTTCCTGCTCAGCTCCAGCCGGTAGACAAGTCTTGTCATCAACAGAGTAGAAGGATCTGACCTCGCTCGGGGCCGATGTGACCAAGCGCTGGTAGCGTGGTTTTACCTCACACCCATGGCCTCACAGTGTGCCGGCAGTCGCCGAGCAGTGTCGCTCACACAAGCCGCAGCACAAGTGACTGAGGGCCAGTGAGGGCGAGCCCATCGCTGTCACAGCTGTGGCAGCCGCACAGTAGGCTGTGTCAACTGTGCAGAGTGTGTGAGCAGCAGAGGAGCTGCTCTCCAGGCTTCTGACGCAAAGAGCTGCATGCCATCGAAGGCGCTGTCGAGGTTCGCCGAGCGCGGCGCAGGTTGGAGGACACCGTCACCGACGAGCGCGTTGGACTTTTCACTCGGGACAAAGACGGCGACACGCACACGAGCTGCGGCCGTGCCACTGTCATAGTGGCGAGGCGCGGGACCGTCTGTGGCGAGGTGGGTCGCGTCCTCCGATTTCCGTCAACCCAGCATCCACACCCTCTAGCTGTCGCCCAAAGGCGACTCGACGCCGCTGAGATCGGAGATCAAGCTCTGACAGGTCGGCTCAAGCGGAGGTGACTTCTAGGCCGACGATCACACTCATTGCAATGTGGGGCTGCCATAAAAGCCCCTAGAGCTGCCATCAACACAGACTGCCGTATCTCGCCATCAACACAGGCTGCAGGAGCCGTGGATTGCGAAGGCCTTCCCAGTCACCTCGGGACGCTCGTGGCTGCGTTTTGGCCCATTCTCGTTCCGGACGCGGAGCCCTTACCTTTGTACACAGTGCGACTACGGCAACATCGTCGGCAATTTTGCGTGCTACGACGGTGGCGCAGGCCACGATTTCTTCGTCGCTTCTAGGTAGAGGCCCCCTGACTTGACTCTTAGAGGGCCCCTGACTTGACTCTTGCCTGTCAGTGAGGCCCGCCCAGCTATCTTTGGTGCACTGTGTTGTATCTTTTCTGGTTAGCCTGTGTTTCTTAGTCCTCTGAGGTCAAAGGCCTCTGTGCCGCGCCAAGACGGACCATCAGCCAGGGACCCTCTGAGGCCAAAAGCAGCCAAGACGAGAGGCCATAGAGGCGGCAAAGAGTCAGAGTCAAACCCTCTGTGCCGCCAAGGCAGGGGTCCGACCCGTCCTCAGAGGGGGGTCTGAGGCCCCAGAGAGTGTATAACCCCCTAGTGGGGCGCGCGCCGCGCTGGGTCTAGATGGGGTTTCTTCTTTTAGCAGTGGTCCATCTCGCGCTCGCCGGGCACGCTTACGTATGGTTACGCGCTCTCTCGCACGCCCTCTCGCGTACGGCTTTGGTGTATACTACGTCACATCGCTGGCCTCCTCTCCTTGTCTGCGCCGCGCGCTGCCTGCAGGTCCGCTGGCCTAATGGCCACGCCGCTGTCTGCGTGCTGCTCGAGCGCCTGCTCAAAGGTGCTCCGCACTATCCACTCGAACTCGGCCAGCATCTGCGGCACCATCACCTTGTCCGCCTTGCCCGTGAATCGCGCCTTCTCAATCGCGCGGCACGCCTCGTCGAGCACCACCCGTGGCGGCAGGGAGCACTCGCGCGCCACCGGCGCCTCCCCTCCGATGTCATACACCTTGGCGCGGCTCGCTTGCGCGCGGCGAAAGCGCTCCGGCAGCGTCTTTCCCTCCTCCCCCGCCTGCCTCTCCGCCGCCGTCAGGTGCGCCAGCACCGTCATTGCGGTCCCCTGCTCGAAGATGCACCACCCTCGCCCGCCCTCGCCCTCGTACGGCGTTGGGTTGTACTCTCCCGGTCCGAACCCGGTGGTCGCGCCTGGCGGGAGGTCGATGCTGCGCTGCTGGATGACGGAGGTGCCCGTGACGCTGGCGTAGAAGTTCCCCATCACTTTGAGGCCTCGCCCGAATATGGCCTTCTCCGCCTCGGTCTTGTCCTCCCCGTCTGGGCCCTTTTGCGGAAGGCTGCAAACGTCCCAGAAGAGCCCCGTATCGCTAGCCGCCGCGTCGGCATCGAGGAAGCGGCGCACAGCGGCGAGCGTGGTGCCGTGCGGATCCGGATGTAGCGCCGTCAGCCAGCCGTACGAGAGCGCTAGGATAGACCGGTCGCCTCTCTCGAGCATCGCCACCGCCTCCTCGCAAGGCACAAACGCTTCTTCCGGCATGTCTTGCTGCCTCTTCATGATGACGGCGCCAGAGGCGTCGCGGCCGAGGAAAGCGTCGGAGGCCGGCGACGCCAGCCAGCTGCAGCGGAGCAGCCGCACCGAGCCGTCGCGCAGCCGATCCGCGAGCGAGCCGTCGATCTTGGAGTCGGCGGCGGTGAGCACGGCGGAGAGGTCGACGGCGCGGAGCACGCGCCTCGTGCGGCGCAGCTCGCGGAGCGAGAGGAGCGCGCCACCGAGGAGGCTTCCGAGGAAGACGGCCGCCATGAGGAGCTCGACGACGGTGCGTGTGACTCCTAGCTCGCTGGTGGCGAGCGCCGTGTAGACGCAGGTGAGTACGAGGAGGACGGTCGTCGCGCCGTAGAGCCACGACTCGAGCGCGTTCTGAAAGTCGAACGCGAAGGGGGCGGTCGAGCGGTGCGCGAGCCAGAAGGCGAGCGTGACGGCGATGGCGGCGGCGGCGCCGGCGTAGCGGGCGATACGGAATTCTTCGTCGGAGAGGCGATAGAAGATCAAGTCGATGGCAAGGACTACGAGGAGGAGGAGGAACTGGCGCAGCCAGATGACCAGCTGCCAGCGAGGCGCGTGTCGGGCGAACCGGCCGGTAAGAAACGCAACCTGCCTCTCCAAACGTCGAGGGGCGATGATGGGTCCGTGCCGGCAGTGACAAGGCGAGCGCCACTCGCCCTTGTTGATACCGCGCTGGAAGCTGAAGGCATTTCGTGCAAAGTGGACGGCGAGGGCGAGTAGGAGCAGGGCCAAGATTGAGCTCTCAGCAAACAGAAGGATCGTGCGAGGAAAATATCTGCTCATCCAGTCGCCATACGGATTGCGGTCTGTGAAAAGAGCTTGCTCAGGAGAGTAAACGACAAGGGCATTTGAGAAGTAGACTGCGTATTTGAAGACCAGACGCCAGCTGAAGCTGAACACCACTGCGTATACAATGCTCGAAGCGAGCTCGGCCGTATCAGCAGATGCAAAATGACCACAGCTACTGGCGATGGACTTGGCGAGGAGCGGCGCAACGAGGGACATAAGCGCAACCGTCGTAGCAAACAACGCATAGGCTCCAAAGCGAGGTATCATTTGGACGTCAAAGATGTCTCTGTTGGAGTAAAAGAGGCAGCTGGCGTGTGGCATCTCTAGGCGCAGCGCCGAAGCGAGCGCGATCAAGGAGTTTGGCCACTCTAGCCGGAGGCTTGCAATGATACTGGCGGTCTGAGCGTGGTTGATTAGGATAGTGGCGGTTGAGACCCAGCGCTTAAGAGACGAGCGATGCCGGACTGCGAGGCGGATGACGGTGCAAAAACCAACCATGATAAGTACGATGCCGACTCCAACGAGTACGATTGCATATATTGGAACGGTACAGCTCACGCATGCATTCGAATCGGTGATGGACTCCCGCAAGTCGCCTTCAAACGCAGAGCAGCCTTTGGGGGGCACTCCATCGCAATTGACGTTGCCGAAGATGCACCTTTTGTTTGTGGTCGTGGAGTAGGTAAATGAGTTCTTCGCTACAAGGAAGTCTGTAAGGAGCGGAAGCTCGCTCAGCGACGGCAGAGTGCCGGATAGGCGATTGTCGACCACTTGGATGGTTGATAGCTGTGAGAGCTTGTCGAGAACAGGTAGGGTGCCAGAGAGCCTGTTGCCCCAGAGCCAGAGCTCTGTCGACGCCAAAAGTGTGCGAGTTTCTTTCTGGAATGGTGCCAATAAGGTTGTTGCCAGCGAGGTACCCAGGTAGAGGCTGGTCAGCCTCGAGAGATTGCCGAGCTTTGCTGGGATGGTGCCAGAAATGTCGTTGGAGCCGAGGCTTAGTTCTTCCAGCTCTGAGAAATCGCTGATCGCGTCGGGAATGGTACCAGAGAGCCTGTTACCATAGAAGTCGAGCTCGGCCAGCCTTGAGAGATTGCCGAGCCCTGCCGGAAGTGTGCCAGAGATCCGGCTCCAACTAATCGAGAGATTGGTCAGCTCTGATATGCGGCTGAGCTCCATGGGAATGGTACCGGAGACGTTGGTACGCCACATGTGGATACTTGTCAAGTCGAGATTGCCAAGCTCGGGCGGAAGAGTGCCTGTCAGTGCTTGATCGTCAACAAACTCGAGTGTCCGCTCCGCATACGTGCCGTTGCAAACCGCTGGCAGCCTCCCACAAATGGTATTTTCCACGGGCGAAGCGTGTGTGTGATTGGTGGCGGTGGCGGTCGCGCTGACCGCGACTGTGCAGAGCAGCAGGATGCTGAGCATGGCCAGGGCTGCTCCTATCCCTCCTAGCCAAGGTCGGGCGTCCTCCTGGCATTTGAGGCGGCAGCCGGTCGGATTTTCTTTTTCTTCGTGCCTGCATACATTGCATGGACGGAGCTAAGTGCATTGACTCGCTTAGGAGGCTCCGGTGGTTTGCATGTGTAAGTAAATACTGTAATAGGTGAGAAATATGAACAACGCCAGAATTCGGGCAAGTACTCTGTGATTTTGTGTGAGCTCTGTGTCTTGATACTTGATTAGAGAGAGAGAGATTTTTAGCAATACCAAACAACTCTAACACTCACACGTCATTTGGGGCCTGGAGCCCTGTTCACGCGCGCGCGAGACGTGCAGACAGGGTTGCCAGGTGAGAGCGAATGGCGCGGTTCACGCCTCGCACAACAGAGAGAGAGATGCGCTCTGCATGGTGGGACATAAAAGAAAGCGAGTACTTGGGCGAGTAGGCCGTGCGGTCGACGCTGCCGCGCGCGACCTTGCGCGCGAGGCGGCGCAGCTTGAGAACGGCGGTGGGCGAGAAGGTTTGTTACTTGATTTGCCATGTACTCTCGAAACGAAAAATTCTAAGTAAGTACCGCCGCCGCCGCCGCTCACGCCTCCGCCGCCTTCCATCTCGCCCACGCCTCCGCCGCCCTCCACCTCTCCCATGCCGCCCCCCCGCCCTCCACCTCGCCCACCCCTTTGCCACCACCCTCTCCTTCGCTGCCCCTCACCCCCACCGTCCTCCACCTCCACCCCTCGCCCTCCCCCCCGCCCTACCGAACCACCCGCCGCCCGCCCATGCCGACTTCCGCCCTCCCGCCGCCCTCCCCCCTTCCTGCCCCTCCGCCTTCGCTATCCCCCATCTGTGCGTTCCACTCCGTCCGCTCCCTCCCGCTTGGCGCCCATCCCGCCCTCCCTCCGCCCTCGCTCTCCGCCCCTGCCCTGGCTGGCCTGGGGGGCATCTCCTCATTATCACGCGCCGAGCGGGAGGGAAGTGGACGGGGCCCTGAGCCGACCTAGCCGCCATACGGAATGGGGCGCCCAACACGTGCCGGATTACTGTGCCTTCCCCGGGCACAGCCTTTCGGCTCGTGAAGGGTCGGTGCGTGTCGTGATCCCTGGAACACCCGTACTCTCCCGCGCCATCTCCGTCGCCCTGTTCGGCTGCGGCCTTACCACCAAGATCGGGAGGGAGGCGGCCAGAGCTCATAGACTCGGTCGAGAGACCCCAGATTGGCATCCATGCCTCTCTGGACAGGGTGGCCCGCCACAACGACCCCTGGAATTGCGACTCGCCGCTTTCCTCCCGCTGTGATTCTGTGTGAGCTCTGTGTCTTGATTTGCCAACAATATACCTCACAGTAAAGGAAGGAGGGATGCGTCCGGGTCAAGCAAAGGACCCGGGATACAATGTCGGGCTTGGAGATCACCTTCCGCGAGCCCTCCTCAGATGCGACGGACACAGAGGCCCTATGGCAAATCCTGCAGCCCACCTTTGCTGCAGGCGAGACGTACTGCATACCGAGAGACGTGTCACGCGCAGAGGCGCTGGCGTACTGGAGCGACAGCCCGCATCGGACAGTCCTGGCTGTCTCCGGCGAAGAGATTGTGGGCTCATACTTCCTCACGCCCAACCAGCGTGCTGGTGGCTCGCACGTTTGCAACTGTGGGTTTGTCACAAAGGCGGATACCGCCGGTCGCGGCGTCGCCACCAAAATGCTGCTGCACGCGCTTGCGGAGGCACGGCGGTTGGGCTTCCGTGCGATGCAGTTCAACTTCGTTGTGTCGACCAATGTGCGAGCGGTGCGTCTGTGGGAGCGCCACGGCTTCGCGGTCGTCGGTCGCCTCCCGGGGGCCTTCTGTCACCCAAGCGTGGGATATGTGGATGCGTTCGTGATGTACAGGTCGCTCCTCGACAACGAGCGCGAAACTGCACCAGCACAGGACGCATCGAGCGAGGCGGCTCGGCGACTTCGCGAATTTGATCTAAAGTGAGGGTGGGGTAGGGGAGAAGTACTCTTGAGGGCAACACATTGGACCAGCGCACGCGCCAACCGCACCATCCTTGTGTGCGTCCCGGGGCCGCACGTTCTGTGCCGTGCTGTCAGAGTGTGAGAGACGAGCGAGAGAGTTTTGTGTTAAGAGTTATAGAGAGAGATTTTCAGCACT